GGAACTTGGGACTGGTTTGTGTCTTTCTCTGTCCGCCATCCCGGTCTCTCTCTATGTCCCCATTCCAAGGTCCCGTGTCTATGCATACTGCCCTCTGCCCAATCTTTTGGTACCTTCTGTCTTGTCTGCCATTGTGTTTTAGTCAGCCTGTCCCCTATCTCAGTCCCTCTGTCTCTCAGTTGCTTGTCTCCATCTCAGGCCCCTGTCTCCCATCTCAGTCCGCCTTCTGTCCCTCCATCTGACCCTCTGCCAAGGCATAGTCATGTGTCTCCCTGACCACTTGCTCCGTTTTTCTTTCTTCCCTCAGGCCAGCTTCCTCTGCCACTCCCACATGATCCAAACGACTGCCCCAGCCTTTCTCTTTACTTCCATCACCCACCAGAAACTAATTCCGTCTCATATCCCAATTTCATATTTCCCCGGGAGCCATCTCATCTGCCTGCTTCAGCTTTTCTCAGCACGCTGCGTGTCGCTGCCCCACTGAGGAGCTGGCTGCCATGGTGAGCCTACAGCCCTGGGCTAGTTCTGTGGCCAGGGCCTCAGGGGCTCTGGGTAAGGCAGCTGGCCCCTGCTAAACACTTACACATATGATCTCATTCTGCCCTCACGGCAGCCCGTGAGGTACACTGTAACATCCCCCGTACCAGTTGCTGTCAAGTCAGCCTTAAATCATGGCAACCCTGTGTGTCAGAGTACAACTGTGCTCCACGAGGTTTTCAGTGGCTGATTTTTGAGGAGTAGATTGCCAAAGACCTTTCTTTTGAGGTGCCTCTAGGTAGACTCGAACCTCCAATGTTTCAGTTAGCAGTTGAGCGTGTTAACCGTTTGTACCGCTCAGGGACTCCAGTGTTCCTCATAAACTCATTATTGTTGAGTCTATTCCAACTCCTAGTGACCCTGTAGGACAGGGTAGAATTGCCCCATAGGGTTTCCAAGGAGCGGCTGGTGGATTCGAACTGCTCATCTTTTGGTTAGCACCGAGCTCTTAACCACTACACCACTAGGCTCCAGCATTCCCCATAGAGATGTGGAAACTTTGGCCTAGAGCTCTTAAAGCTTTTTGCCCAGGGACCCACTGCTTGTAGGTGGCAGAGCTGAGATCCACCCTCCAAAGCCAGTACCCTACCATCCTCCTTTCTGATGCAGTGCTTATCTGAAGTTAATCAGTGAAATTTTGTAGCTCCTTAAAGCATTTCTAATAAGTCAGAATGCTCTGATGCTAAGTAGAACCCAGCTGTCTTTTTCACACACTTTGAAAGCACCTAGACTATCAATGTAGGCTTGATATTGTTAACAGAATTATCTTAAAACCTCGATCAAGACCCAGCATAGTATCTACTAACATTTTCATGTGCTTGGGGTTTGAGGAGGATTTTTTGCAAATAGGTTAAATCCTTGTATAAACATCAAAGTAATGTTTGAACATCGCTAACTGGCTTGGGGGACTTATTAAGTTCCCCTTACCCTCCATATTTGAAGAAAATGTGAAGTTCTGGCACAAAACAAATTTTGATTAATCAGTTGTGATGAATCATGGACTTGTATTTCCATACACCCTGGCATCAGTGATGATTCTGTATGGAGACAAGAGTTGTTTGCTTATTTGACAGGGAGGTGATTGTTTCTGCATTGCCCTCCTCACCGAACAAAGATTATAAGTACTTGCTGCATTCCGTGAAATTTGCTGTGATGAACTCTAAGAACTAAGAAATGCAGGGTGGAAGTAGGCTTAGTGGCGAGCAATCTTCCATATCCATTCCCTGTATCCTTATTAAGATGCCTTGATGTCCTGCCACAGGGGCCTTACCAGGTACTGCGTGAGCTTTGCACAAAAGCTGCTAATCCCTCAGCAGCTCGTTCTGTCTCCATCTGGCAGCTTCGCACACTCACAGCAGAGAGCGTGCAGGGAGTGGCCTTGGCTGGGCGGGACCTGGAGGCCTGGCAGGGAGTGGCCGTGTAACTGAGACCCGAATACTGTGCCCATTCTGACTCACATGCTGTCTGTCCCTGCTGGCTTCTAAAGGAAGGGAGATAAAATCAAAAAACCAAACCTGATTCTGACTCATAACGACCCTATAGGACAGAGTACAACTGCCCCATAGGGCTTCCAAGAAGTGCCTGGTGGATTCAAACTGCTGACCTTTAGGTTAGCAGCCGTAGCTCTTAACCACTATGCCACCCACCACGGTTTCAAAGGAAGGGGCACAGGGAAGGATAATTAAACTAGAGGGCTTACCTTGCTGAAGAGCTCTTTCTTCTTAATCAAATGAGTGATTTGGGTTTATTGCAAGCATCCAGGGGCTTCCCTTTTTAGATTGGTGAATTCCATCATGCAGACGGCACCATGACTTTGGCCTGGAATCACACTTCCACACGTGGCCGGAGCCAACATTTGACTGACTGGCCAGCTGGCTAGAGCTTGCCCAGTGCACTCTTGACATTTGTCCCATTCCTGGCTCTGAAATGCCCTCAGAGCAGGAACCAGCTCCAGGGGGAGGGCCTAGCCAGTTCTACTTTGTCCTATAGGGTTAGATCTATTGCAGACATCGTCATTTAATTCTTGCTGCCCTCCTGTGAAGCATATATTTGGCATTTACCATCTACAGTTCACAGACAAGAAAAACGAGGCTCAGAGAGGTTACATAACTTCCTTGAGGTCACACAGTGTGTAAGTGCAGAGCCAGCTTTCAGACTGTCCGAGTACGGGCTCTTTGTTCAGTACCACATAGTCCTTTCTCTCTTTTGCGGAAAAATAGACGTCTCTAGCTTTTGTGTTGTGGAAAACCTGGGAATCATTGAGCAGTGAACTAAGTATAGAAGACCACTGTCACCTATGATTGACCTCTGTTGTTTCTAACCTACAAAGACCCGTGTTCCAAAAATTCTTTTTGTCTGTTGTTAGGTACTGTCGAGTTGGCTCCAACTCATAGTGACCTTACGTACAACACAGAACAAAACACTGCCCGGTCCTGCGCCATCTTCACAATCGTTGTTGCTACGCTTGAGCCCATTGTTGCAGCCACTGTCTTAGTCCATCTCATTGAGAGTCTTCCTCTCTTTTGCTGACCCTCTGCTTTGCCAAGCATAACGTCCTTCTCCAGGGACTGATCCCTCCTGATAACATGTCCAAAGTACTTGCGATGAAGTCTCGCCATCCTCACTTCTAAGGAGCATTCCAGCTGTACTTCCTCCAAGACAGATTCATGTGTTCTTATGACGGTCCACAGTATATTCAGTATTCTTTCCCAACACTAATTCAAGTGCATCAATTTTTCTTCCGTCTTCCCTTATTCATTGTCCAGCTTTCGTATGCATATGGGGCAATTGAAAATACTGTGGCTTGGGTCAGGCCCACCTTAGTCCTCAGAGTGACATCTTTGCTTCTTAACACTTTAAAAGGTCTTTTGCAGCCGCTTTGCCCAGTGCAATAGGTCATTTGATTTCTTGACTGCTGCTTCCATGGGTGTTGATTGTGGATCCAAGTAAAATGAAATCCTTGACAACTTCATTGTTTTCTCCATTTATCATGATGTTGCCTATTGGTCTACTTACTGGAAAGTAGAAGACACACCCCTGAAGCAGTAATGTTCTGAATGCTGCTTTGGCTTCTGGGGCAATTCATAAAGCCCTCATAACCCACAGTGTTCTGGAAGAGTCCTGGTGGCTCTGATTTCTTGGAGCACTCAGTCCGTAGTGGAACATATAGGTGAGGTTGTATGGATATGCAAGAGCTGGAGCTACCGAGAGGAAGAAAACAGGAGAGGCAGAAGCTCTCGGGTCTGTGGGTTGGAACTGGGGCTCAGGGGCATGGAGGCAGCATTTGGGGCTGCAGCAGCACCGAAGACTGACCAGGAATATAGGGTCATACAGGGCTCGCTTAGGTGGGCTCGTTACAGAGAGAGCACCGCTAAGAGGAATGGGGCCACTGGTTTTTTTTTAAGTCAAGTATTTGTCGGTTGGTAACTGCCTGTGCTTAATTAGACTAATTATCTCTGATACAAATGGGCTTCAGTTAAAGAGCTTGGATGTAATTTGCTATAATTTTCCAGAAATAAGAAGCTTTTTTCTTCCCATAAAAGCCAGAGTAAATTTCTCACAGGTAATAGAGATTATTATGTAGTTATTTACTTTTCTGTTCATTTTATCAAAAAAAAACAAACAAACAAACTCATTGCTGCGGAATTGATTCCGACTCACAGCGACCCTATAGGATAGAGTAGAACTGTCCTGTGGGGTTTCCAAGGAGTGGCTGGTGGATTCGAACTGCCAACCTTTTGGTTAGCAGCCAAGCTCTTAACCAGTGCGCCACCAGGGCTCCCATTTTATCAAAAGTCGTGTAATTTCCAGTCTAGGTGGAGAGGAAGATGGTGCTGTTCTGAGCTAGTTTAATGAGTCAGACAACAGATGACTGTGTGCTTCCATACTGAAAGGGGTCGGTGTCCTTACCTCTTTGTATCCTGTAGTTGTGTGCCATCGAGTTGATTCTGACTCCTAGTGACCTTGTAGGACCGGGGGTCTTTTCTCCCTCACAGCAGCTGTTGAGTTTGAACTGTTGACCTTTTGGTTAGCAGACAAGTGCTTAACCATTGCGCCATTAGGGCTCCTTCTTCTTGCCCTAAGCCTTGTACTCCTTAAAGTTTGGTGGGATGGTGTTAGATGAACTAAATCTCATGTCTCACTTTTTAAGTTGTAACACTCTTAACCTAGCAGTAGGGAAACAGTAGTTTCAGAGGTGGAAGAGGAGGAGAGAGAACACGTCTCTGGTTGATTAGAGGTGGGCGGCAGGGAAGTGTGTCAGCTCTTAGGTTGTTGTCCTTCCGCAACTGTCATTAGATCATGTTCCCATGTTACTGCTGTGCCTTGAAAATGTATAACTATCAATTATCTTTAACTATTTAGATCTATTAATTTAATAGTAATTGGTAGGTAGTATCACCTATTAGAACTTTCTACATGATTGAGTATACCTTCAGCTAATAGAATACACTTTTTCCTCTTAGGAACATCAGGCACAAATGAAATAATCATAAATATAATGTAAGTATATCATATATTCATATAATCATAAATAGAAGGAATCTCAGAAGAAATACATGCTGTTATGGCATTTCTGCCTTTCTAAAGACTTGATCTGAGATTTTCTGATTCTTTAGCATGAAACTCATGGGAATTAGTAAATGAAATCTGTCTTTCCCGTAATCCGTCAAACATTTCATTTTCCTCGAGGGGGGGGGGTGGTCATGTTGTAACACCAACTGGTGTTTCTTCGTGATCTTTAGTTTAGTTTTGTTTTTATTAACTATAGGATTTTGTTTTCGTTTAACAGCTCAACTATTGAGATATAAGTGGCATACAATGAAATGTACGTATTGAAAGTATATGATTTGATAAGTTTTGACATACGTACATACCCGTAAAATTATTGGTCAAAATCACGAACATATCCGTCCTCCTCAGAAGTTGTCTCTTGCCCGTTTTTAGTTGCTCCGTCCCACACTGTGCTGTCCCGCCAGGTAATCATCATCTACTTTGGTCACTTCTGTTGGCATTTTCTAGAGTTGTATATAATGGAATCATACAGTGTACCATCTTTTTTTTAATTTTTTTTGTCTGACTTTTACTCAGCATAATTATTTTGAGATTTACTCATATTGTTGTGTATATCAACCATTCACTCCTTTTTATTGCTGAGTAAGATTCTGTTGTATGGATATCCAAACCAAACCCGTTGATCCCGACTCATAGTGACCCAACAGGACAGAGTAGAACTGCTCCTTAGGGTTTCCAAAGAATGGCTGGTAGATTCAAACTGCTGACCTTTTGGTTAGCAGCTGTGGTTCTCAACCATTATACACCAAGGGCTCCATCTTGTATAGATACAGGACAATTTATTTATCTGTTCATGCACTAGTGGGCATTTGGGTTGCTTCAGTTTTGGGCTCCTTCAGGCTGCTGTGAACATTCATGCACAAGTGTTGGTATGAATGTTTGCTTTCTTTTCTCTGGAGTAAATATCTAGGAGTGGAATGGCTAGATCACAGGATAGGTATATGTTTCAACTTTTAAAGAAAACGTAAATGGTTGTCCACAACGGCTGTGCCATTTTGCATTGCCACCAGCGGCGTGTGAGAGTTCCAGTTACTCTACATCCTTAGCAACACTGTGGTCAGCCTTTCGCGTTTTCGACTTTTAATAGGCACGTGATAGTGTCTCATTGTGGCTTTAATTTGCATTTCCCTAATGACTAATGAAAATGAACATCTTCTGTGCTTATTTACCATGTGTATATCTTATTGGGTAAGATGTCTGTTCAAGTCTTTTGCCCATTTAAAAAAATTGAGATGTTTGTTTTCTTATTGAGTTTTGAGAGTTCTTTATATATTCTGGATATAAAGTCCTTTAAGTTAGATAATGCTTTTATATGCTTTACAAATATTTTCTCCCAGTCTGTGACTTATCTTTTTACCCAGTGTGTTTGGAAGAACAGATTTTTTTTTTTTTTAATTTTGATGATAGGCTTGCCATTTAAAAAGACATGATTTCATTCACAGTATCAAAAGGACTTCAAAACCTTTAGCCACACTGCCACTTCCAGCCAACATGGAGTAAGTAGTGGGGACCACATTTACCCTCCCACCTGAAATTAAAAAGCAAAGCAGAATACCCAGCCAAATATATGAAATAATGGTTTTCAAGACTCTAAGTATCAGGGAACAAAGGACAGTGACCCCTGAGATATGGGCGACTGTGATAGAGTAGAACTGCCCCATAGGATTTTCTAGACTGTAATCTTTATGGAAGCAGATCACCAGGTCTTTCTTCTGCAGAGCCTCTGGGTGGATTTGAACCACCAGTCTTTCAGTTAGCAGCCGAGTGCTTAACCGTTTGGCCTCCAGGCCTGCTTGGGACACAGCATAAACAAGATACAATTCCTGTACTTGTGGATCTTACACCCTGGTAGAGGAGACACACAATCAGCCAGTATTTGTTAGGTGAACATAAGTGCTGTGAAGAAAAGTAAAGCAGATAATATAGAGTGACGAGGAGGTGAGGGTACTGCGCTATATCCCATGATCGGGGAAGGAGCTTTTGAGGTAGAGCTATTTGAGCAGAGACCTGAGTGAAGTGTGTGTGTGGGAGGGTACAGGGAGCAAAGTGGTAGGAGTGTGCTTTGTAAGTAGCTGGTGAAGCTAGGACAGGATGGACAGTGAGAGGGGCAGGCGGCATCGTCCTAGGAACGGGTCACACAGAACCTGTGGGGGCTTGTGAGGACCAGCTTTTGTTCTGAGGGTCCTGAGCAGAGGAGTAGCATGATCCGGCCTACGTTATGAAAGGAGCCCTCTGGCTGTGGTGTGGGGAAATGAGTGCTGGCGGAAGAAGTAGGGAGAGCAGAGACCCTGCAGTAGTCCAGAGTGCATGGTGCCATGGACTCGGGGGCTGAGCCAAGGGGTCAGATTCTGGGTGTGTTTGAAAGTAGAGCCAACAGGACGTACTGGTGCATTTGATGTGGCGTGTGAGAGGAAGAAAGGAGTTAAAGTGGCTCTACTTTTTGAACTTAAGAAAAGGTTTAAACACAGAAGAAAACATTCTTTGATGGTTACTAGGGTGGGGAGGGAGGGAGAGGGTTATTCTCTAACTAGATAGTAGATAAGAATTATCTTAGGTGAAGGGAAGGACAGCACACACTACAGGGGAAGTCAGCACAACTGGACTAAACCAGAGCTAAGAAGTTTCCTGAATACAATCAAACACTTTGAGGGACAGAGTAGCAGGGCCAGGAGCCTGGGGACCATGGTTTCAGGGGACATCTAGGTCAATTGGCATAACAAAGCTTATTAAGAAAATGTTCTGCATCCTACTTTGGTGAGTGGTGTCTGGGGTCTTAAAAGCTAGTGAGTGGCCATCTAAGATGCATCAGTTGGTCCCAACCCACCTGGAGTAAAGGAGAATGAAGAACACCAAAGACACAAGGTAAGTATTAGCCCAGAAGACAGAAAGAGACACATAAACCAGAGACCTGAGACCAGAAGAACTAGATGGTGCCTGGCTACCGCCAATGACCGCCCTGACAGGGAACACAGCAGAGAGTCCCTGATGGAGCAGGAGAAAGGTGGGGTACAGAACTCAAATTCTAGTAAAAAGACCAGACTTAGTGGTCTGACTGAGACTGGAGGAACCCCAGAAAGCATGGCCCCTGGGCTCTCTGTCAACCCAGAACTGAAACCATTCCTAAGGCCAACTCTTCAGACAAAGATTAGACTGGACTATGGGACATAAAATGATACTCATGAAGAATGTGCTTCTTAGCTCAGGTAGATACATGAGAGTAAATGGGCAGCTCCTGTCCAGAGGTGAGATGAGAAGGCAGAGAGGGTCAGGAGCTGGTTGAATGGACATGGGAAATAAGGGGTGGAAAGGAGGAGTGTGCTATCACAGTATAGGGAGGGCAACTAGGGTCACATAACAATGTATGTATAACTTTTGTATGAGAGACTGACTTGAATTGTAAACTTTCACTTAAAGTACAACAATAAAATTAAAAAAAAAAAAAAGACTCTACTTTTTTTTCCTCCAAAGTAACCAGAAGAATGGACATTTTTACTGATGGGGGAAGCCTAGGAAAGAAGTAACTTTTCAGGGTTGGGGACCAGGTGGGAATCCAGCATTTGATTTGGGACCTGTCAGTCTCAATGTGGTGATGCCAAGGAGGCAGTCATATGTAGGTCTGAACTTCAGGGAGGAGGTGAACGGAGGCCATGGCAAGGCAAGTGACTGAGATGGGGGTTCACTGAGGGTTACTGGTGGTTTCCACATGGACTCCCAGAAGTGACTTTTCCAGGTTATCGTCCTTTCCTGATGAGGCTGCCCACACTTGGCCATCCCATACATTTTTCCTGGCCTGTCCTTTGCTTTGTCTGTCTACCTTTAGACTTCAGATGGGAAGTCAGCTGTGCCTGCTTGAGGGTGGAAGTATAATTGAAATATAATTTGTTCCTGTTTACAGTTACAACTTTTAAGTGGTTAGGAGAGGCTAAAGAGTGCTGGGCTTTGATTGTTCATGCAATTCTGTACTTTTTAGGAAGCATTGTAGATGCTGTTTATTTGTTTGAAATGGCCTCACATCTCGTCTGGGTCTTCTGTGAATGACGCTTGGGTCAGGGGAGTGGATAAAGGAAACCTCATGTTGGGAGAGGATCCCAGCTGGAATATGTTTCCCTGTAGCGTTTGTTTATGTGCAGTGGGGATATTATTCTTTTGCAAAATCAGAAAGCTGAACCATCTCAAGGTTCCCTTCAGCCATCCAGCCCTGCATATGTGTTTCTGGCTCTCAGTCTGCGGGTTTCCTCTTGTCTCCTGGGACCCTTCTGGGCTTCTCGCCCGTACTACCCACCCAACCCTAACATTTACTCCTCCTCCTTCCTTTCTTCCCAGAGAAAAATAAATTTACAGACGTTCTTGTCATCTTTCTTGTTAGGAGACAAGAAGCTAGTACTGTATGGTTTCTGACCACCCTTAAGGACCTCAAGTGTCTCCCTTACCAAAAACCAGGCCCATTGCTGTTGAGTTGATTCCGACTCATAGCGACCCTATAGGACAGAGTAGAACTGCCCCATAGGGTGTCCAAGGAGTAGCTGGTGGATTCAAACTGTTGACCTTTTGGTTAGCAGCCATAGCTTTTAATCACTGCTCCACCAAGGCTCCATGGCTCCCTTAGTACTTCAAAATCTGGTTTAAAAAAAAAAAAAATGTACTGTCAAGTCAGTTCTGGCTCAGGGCAACCCCATATGTAGAACTGTGCTCCATAGGGTTTTCAATGGCTGATTTTTTCAGAACTAGATCTCCAGGCCTTTCTTCTGAAGCACCTCTGAGTGGACTGAAACCTCCAGCCTTTCGGTCAGCAGATGAGCACGTTAACCCCGTTCACACCACCCAGTGCCTTCTCAAAATCACGTCGATTTTTATAAGACTGCTGAGCCTTTGTTTCAAGTTTCAGTTTAGGTATTACAGAGTCCTCTTTAATTTTAGTGGGAAGGAAAATGAGTGTTACAGGACAGAGTTCTTCTCTGAGCCTGGAACCGTCTTCCGGTAAGAGGTAGGTGACAGGCTATCAAAATAGAGAGGAACCTTTTGAACGCGCTTCAGTCCACCAGCGTGGGCTTTTTCTAATCCTGAATTGCATCTGGGGGAAGGGAGGGCCAAGATAGGTTTGGGCTATACACCCCACCCCACTCACTTTGATCTGTGAAGCGTGTCTGATCCTCCGCCAAGTCTGCTGGAACTTTATCCAGAACAGGAAGAAGGGAAATATTTTTCCTTTCTTGGGTGGATTTGTATTTATATAAACCCTTAGCAATGAGAGCGGAGCCAAGGGCAGGCACCTGCGTCTGGGGAGGTGCGTTGGGGTGAGTGAATGGTGGGAAGAAGCATGGACAGTCTATCTTGAGTCAGCTTTGAGACTGGCAGTGCCAGACCTATTGCAGGTCAGTGGGGAGAGGTGTTAGTACTCAGACACATTTTCCTGTGAACATACATGTATGGTCATTATGGTGGTGCAGATGGTTAAGTACTCGGCTATTAGCAGGAAGGTTGACGGTTCGAATCCACCCACAGGTGCCTTGGAAGACAGGCCTAGCATTCTGCTTCTGAAAGTTCACAGCCTTGAAAACCCTACGGGGCAATTCTGCTGTGCGCACTTGGGATCACCATGAGTCAGAATCGACTCAGTGGCAACTAACAGCAGCAACAACAGGGCCGTTATATAGAGCAACATGGGGCAGAGCCAGCAGCTAATCATTTAACTGCAGATCATAACACCAGTTAGATTGTACATATATAAGATTGTTGGTATTGTTGTAGTCAGGTTCATTCCAACTCATGGTGACCCCACGTGTTGCAAGTAGAACTGCTCCATAGTGTTTTCTTGAATACAATCTTAATGCAAGTAGATTGCCAGGCCTTTATTCTGCAGAGCTGCTGAGTGGGTTCAACCTCCCGACCTTTAGATTAGCAACTGATCAAAAACCATTTGCACCGCCAGGGTTCCCTATGTGTAAGATGGGTTCATTTTGTTTTTGTTGTTGTTACTAAGAGAATAGGCTTGTGGAAGGCCTCAGCTGTTGTCTTTAACCTCAGAAGATTTGAGATGTCTTTTTTCTCTGAACAACTTTAGCTTCTCGCATTGTGTTCTGCTGTTGATTTATTTGCATGAATTTGTCTAAACCTTTTTTGGACTGGCCCGAGCCACTTCTTGTGGGTGTTAAGTTCTTTAAGTGTGCTTGTCCCCAGTGCGAAGGAGCCCTGGAGGCGCAGTGGTTAAAGTGATTGACTGCTAACCAAAAGGTCGGCAGTTCAAAACCAGCAGTGGCTCCTCAGGAGAAAGATGTGGCGGTCTGCTTCCGTAGAGATTTACAGCCTTGGGAACCCTATAGGGTCACTATGAGTCCGAATCGACTCAGTAGCAGAGGTTTGGGTTTAGGTTTGGGTCATCAGTGTGAATGCTTTCTTGTCGTAAAACCACCTCATTTAAGTTTCTCCTTTTTCTAGCCTATTTTTAGACATTCCAGAGAAGTACTAAACAGAATCTAGAAAAGGAACTATGTGTATTGTAGCAATTTGTATATTATCTGGACTAATCCGGGACTGATGAAGATGCTGATAATGGCAAGTTTTGAGAGCTTTGATATAAAACCACCTTGTATTTTGCTATTGTCTACTCTCTTAGAACAAAAAGGAGCGCCTTCCCTGGTAGGTGACTCAGCTTCCTGCAGCTTCCCTGGAGTTACTTCTATGCGTTAATGACTGATGCATGAGCCGGGTTTACCTGCTGTCCTGGGATGTTTACTCTTGTCCCCAGGAATACTTATTTTGTCTGTTGGAGCTTCATGCTTTCAAGTGGATCCATCGGAAGGCTACCTAGCATCTCTGCCCAGTGCTGTAATAACAGACTCGGGAAGGAAACTTCCCAAGGACTGTGGGAGATTCTGAGACCTCCAAGCTTTCGGAACAGTGGGGAGTCAGAGGAAGAGAGCTGGGGAGAAGCGAGGCTGTTGCTTTACTGCAGGTGATAGAAATAGAGTGCGCTGTGAGGAAGGGAATTCACATCACTCAGTGTGGGGCAGAGGACGA